GGGGGGGGGGGGGGGGGGGGAATTCCACTATACACTCATTAAGAACCTGTTACATTTTGCATCAAAGGACCGAGAGCTTTAGTGGACTCCACAGTGTTCCAGTTGGATTAATGAAGAATGTGCTACGTAAGTTCTGGGAAATTCTGAGATGATCACAGTTTCGAGGTCGTTGTGTTCATACTGAGACAGGGCTTTTGAATTAGTTGCTGCAGTCTTAAAATATTTATATTTTACACCAAAGTCCATAGAAATGATCAGTGATTCTAGCTGATATGGACACAGGAGCTGCTGGTCTGACACTGTGTCACCAAGGTAAATCAGAAAGGATTTTCAAACTGAAGTGACAAAATAAAATATTTAAAATTAGTTATGGAGGTACAAGTGAACAAAGACATGATTTGATGAAAAAAAAAAACAGAATTTCCTTTCTGTTGGAAAGTCTGTTCACTTCAGGAGACTCCGAGGGTACAGTACAGTTAAAACAAAGACAAGTTGACAAAAAGAACACATTTTACATGCAGTTAAATGAGTTTTTACTCACATATTTGTTTTTACTGAACTTGTCCAAATGGGTTCCTGACTTATTTATTATAATAAAATAAATTTCACGTGATTAAAAAAGTCAAAACATTTATTTGTGGCAGGAATAAATTCTGTACTCTGAGACGTACTCTGCTTGATCAGGTTAAATTATTTTGATAATGAAGATAATAAGGTGAGTAATTACAGTGTACTATTAACTGGCAGACTGTTACTGTTAGTTGTCAAACAAGTCAGGATTATGACTAGGATAGCTGCTATCTTCCTGCTTCAATGAGAAATAAATGTGTGTGTGTGTCAGTGCCCACATCATTGACTCTCATCACCGAACATGACGCTCACGCTCCATCTGCTGCAGCTGCAGCTGCTGCTGCTGCTGCTGCTGCTGCTGATCATCAGAAGCTGTGAGACCACTTATTTCCTAGGGACAGTGATGACCTACGAGCCGAGGTTGACCAGCTCTGAGGGAGATATCACAGTGAGTACCAGTGTACCGACTTGATGTTTTTACCAATTAACAAAGCAAACAATAGAACTTGTCAAAGTTGGATCAGGTCACATGTCATGTTAGCAGGACAGGACAGCTCCCAGGTCTCAGTCTCACTGCTGTCTGCGAGACATCACCAACATCTAGGACAGTTACAGCTGCTCAGTACTGTACGTCCACAACGATGATGGTACACAGGTCATGTATTTCCTCTTCACACTGTGATGCCTGCTCAGTGTGCAGAGGAACCCTTCTCGACAGCTGGGGTTGTACTAGCTGTTGGTGTGTGGAGACAAAAAGGGCGTAGAAATGCTAGAAATTTCAAAAGAAAATTTCTTTCAGTAAGCTAAAATATATTGTAACTAGCATGTTCTGTCCTTTAGTGATAACTAGTAGTCAAGGATATCCATAAACAATTGTTTATGGATATAAAACAGTTATTCAAAAATATATGTCAAAAACATTCAAGGATGATGCGTAAAGTTAGCATGAACCAAGATAAGTTAGTCAAGATTTTCCATGAACAAGAGACTCTTACTTTTTGGGAAAATTTGTTTTAAATCAAAAGAGCGGTGTGGTATGGTGCGGGGTGGGGGGTGAGGACGGGGGGAGGTGATGGACACAGCCGTGGATCAACACAGCTGTGCTGGTGTGAGCTAAAATCACTTTTGTCTCCATGGACGTTGGTGTGAAAGAGTGAGTGGTTGCTGAGGTTTGCCTTAGGCTGAGATGAATCATAAGTATGCATCAACTTAAATTTTCACTCTCACTATAATTGCAGGTGGTTTTACGCTACAAGACAAACTTCCACACCTGTTCTCAGTCTGCCTCCTGGCTATGTGGCGAAACAAGCTGTGGAACCAGTTCTATGGTGGTGCACACGGTTATTAGGGAGAGCAGCGGGGAGTGGTGTCAGCGAGAGGGAATAATGATAAAGAGGGTTCGAAGAAATGACTCCTTCAGTCTACAGTTAGTTATTTAAAACTTCATTTGAATCCATTTAACTTTAACAACAGACTTAATGATTCAGTAAACTACACCATTCCCTCAAAGGTTGGTCACTTCGCCATGGATAAGTAACATCGACGGCACTGGGAGCGGGGTAGCCATGGCTATAATCAATTTATTGACAAGATCTGGCCAGCCCAACAGATCACCCCAAACTACCATACTGCCAGTCCTGAGGTAAGAGTTCACCCAGTCGCTACAATTCATTCGATTCATTCATACGACGACTCTTCCTTAAAGAGGTCACTGTGCCAGGTCAAATTCTTTTGCAGTCACTAAGACTAACAGCTAGAAGGCTAAGCTAAAAAGAATTTTTTCCAACCTCTCAGTGTTCCCTCAAACTGTCAGAGACATATCCGCCTGTTGGCCTTTGACCCCGACGGAGATGAGGTCAAGTGCCAAAGAGCAGGCACCCTGTCCGTCCTTACACTCTCACTGGTAAGTAGACAAATGGTTGCTACAGGTTTATCACAAGAACACTGAAGGATCAGGAGGTAAGTCCTATAGGTCGTCTTAAAGGTCCTGGTCCTGGTCAGTGAGCTTGTCCACAGACCACAGCCCTGTAGAACATTTGTCAAACACATAAATCAAATGGGATCTGCTGAGGAGACAAAACATAAACTGTAGACGGGTTTCTTGTTTACAAACAATACTAGGTGTGCGCACAACCAGGGAGAGAAATGGGGGAGTTAACAGTTAAGGGTATGGGAGGGGGAGTGAGGAGGTGATGAACCCATACTCACACAAAAGTGTACCTTTGGTGACACATTTCTATGCCTTTCTAAACAACTGACATTACAGCCACACAGGGACTACACTAGTTTGCAGTAGAGTTTCTCCACTGACTTTTCTCCTTCTTCCTTTTTTGTTCTAGTCTTGTGATTTGTTCTTCAACGGCACCAGCAGCACTGCTGAGGGTTTTTACCCAGTCCAGCTGTTGATGGTGGACTACTATAGGGAGACCATCACCATGACCAACAGTAATGGGACATTGTCCACTGTAACCACAACCAGCACCATCAGTGTGATGCCAGTCCAATTTGCATTTAAAGGTCTGCATTCCTTTGTTTTTCAGACACAGTTGTGACCCCTACAGGTGAAGGCCTGTAATAACATGTATTTTTCTTTGTTCCAGTGGATTCTGCAGTTCCATCCTGCACAGAAGGACAGTTTTTACCTGAGTTTGTGAGTCCAACTCCAACAAACAGAGCTCAGCTGCAGTCCTCTGTGAACCAGACACTGGTTATTGACATCAGAGCAGTGGCAAATAACTCCACGTGAGTCAGAAGGTCAATGAACATGATCAGAGGTGGACTTCAGAAACCTTCTGCAGTGCACTCTCCACCAAAACAAACCCTGAAGCTCGAGGATCATGAGCAGCAGTGTTTGAGAGACGTTTGTATCTTCATGTCATTAGACTTGACATTTCTTCTGCTTTGACTTTGTTAAAGGATCTCAGAGCTGCTGTTCAGTGGGCCATACAACATCGACCGGACCAGGTCTGGACCAGGAGACTTCACCTTGAGATGGACTCCATCTGAGAGTGAACGTGGAGAACACCAACCCATCTGTTTTGTTGTCCAAGCAGTAAACAGGTGAGTATTCCTGCCTGTCATCATTAACCAGTGAAAGATGTTATGACCTGAAGTGTTGGACTTTTCTTCAGCTTCACCAAGTATCACTCTGAGATGAGATGTGTCATTGTTGGTGTCAGAAACGGTAAAACCTTCTCACCTGTGTTTGTCAACATTTCACACACAATTACTAACACATTACACTATGATAGCTGATTTTGGAAACTGAAATGTGTCTAAATTTAAAAATCACATTCAGAAGTGACAACAACCACCACCACAACACCAGAGACTTCACCAACATCTCAGGTACACAGCATCAGGACCACTTTGACTACAACCACCAGTAGATATGCTTCATACAACTGATCTGGACTGTCGACTATTACATCTGCCCGACAGACAACTACACCACAGTCAACAACCACAACAACACCAGTGACCTCAACTACTACAGCGAGAACAACACCATCAACAACCACAACAACATCAACACCAGTGACTACAACTACTACAGAGAGAACAACCCCATCAACAACCACAACAACACCAACACCAATGACTACAACTACTACAGAGAGAACAACCCCATCAACAACCACAACAACACCAGTGCCCTCAACTACTCCAGCGAGAACAACACCATCAACAACCACAACAACATCAACACCAGTGACTACAACTACTACAGAGAGAACAACACCATCAACAACCACAACAACACCAACACCAGTGACTACAACTACTACAGAGAGAACAACCCCATCAACAACCACAACAACACCAACACCAGTGACTACAACTACTACAGAGAGAACAACAACATCAACAACACCAACACCAACACCAACCACAGTGCCTCCAACTACAACAGAGAGAACAACAACATCAACAACACCAACACCAACCACAGTGCCTCCAACTACAACAGAGAGAACAACAACATCAACAACACCAACACCAATGACCACAACTACTACAGAAAGAACAACACCATCAACACCCACAACAACACCAACACCAATGACCACAACTACTACAGAAAGAACAACACCATCAACAACCACAACAACATCAACAACACCAACACCAACACCAACACCAACACCAACACCAACACCAACACCAACCACAGTGCCTCCAACTACAACAGAGAGAACAACACCATCAACACCCACAACAACACCAATGACTACAACTACTCCAGAGAGAACAACACCATCAACAACCACAG